CCTGGGGGCAGCCCCTTCGGAGCCAGGAATCCCCGAGGAAGGAAGCACCCACAGGGGATGGAGGCAGAGGCATCCGGGTTAAGAGTAGGAGGAGAAACCCGCTGCTCCTGGGCTCGGTGCCGGCTCGCAAGCGCGTGGAGCTGGCTCGCTTGGGCTGCAATTTTGAGAGCAGGGCACGTTCATTGGTAGCCCTGGATGCCCGAGCAGCCCAAGGTCCTGCCCAGCTGTGGGCACGCACTTACCTGGCCTTAGGGATGCACAGGGATCGAGCAGGGAAGACATCCCTGCTGCTGCCCGGTGTCACCAAGCCCTGATTCACCGGCCCCGGGAGGCCTTTTGCTAGCGCCATCAAAACCTCCTGCCCTCGTCCCTGAGGCGTCACTGCCCTCGCTCCCCGGGTCCCCGCAGGGCTGGCTAACCTGGCCTCATCCCCTTGGTGGCAAACACGGGGTACCCGAAGCCCTGCGGTCACCGGGCGCCTCTCCTGCCCTCGCCCTCCCTGTCGCCGCTCACGTCAATGCAGAGATGTGTCTCAGCACGACCGTCCGGCGGGGATTTTTTACATTTATTTTTCATCTAATTCCCACAAAGCGCTGACTGCTCCATCGCTTCCCGAGCCTCCTGCACCACTCCGAAGGGTCCGGTCCTGCAGCCCCTCTGCCCGGCCCATGGGCTCTGCTCCTCCAGCAGCCTCTGGCCTCAGCCTTGGAGGCAGAGCTCGTCTCCAGCCCCAGGTATAAGCTCAGAAGTCCCCGAGTTTAAAGACTGGGGACTCCCCCTGGACCCATGCAGCTTTTTGCCTTGTTACCCCCACACAAACAAACACTTAACAACTGGGCCGTCCTGATTTGTGAACAGTCGGCTTTATTTTACGGTTGCAGAGCCTTACAGTTAATAAAAACCACAAGAATCTCTCTCCTTCAAAGTAAGCAACAGATAGTGTTTATTCAAGCTTTGAGTATATAGAGATATATTTGTATATGTATAATATCGGTTATATGTATGCACTTGTAGAGGGCATGTGCTGCTTATAATGTCATTACACAAGTAAGTGTATACAGAAGGGAGTATATTTGTGTGTGCATACGGATAAATGCACACATAGGGGTATATGTGCTTCACAGAAGTATATATAAGACATAACATGTATCTAAGTGAGGCCTCTCCCTCATGCTAAGGGCTGGGACCCTTGTTTTCCTCTTCCGTGCTGTTTGGAATTTTCCCCAGGTCATTTCAACTTTCTTCTTGAAGGCGTCTTTAGCCGAAGATGACTAAAGGAAGGGTCTTCACCCCAGAGAAATGTCAAAAAGTCCTGGAGAAAACCCTAAAAAGCATTAAAAGACAAGAGCAGGGGTGCGTGCTGCGTCACGGAGCGGGTCAAGGCTGCGGTTTAAACCACCACGGCGTTTGTGGAAGGACGTCGAGGAGCCCAGAGCGGAGCTCGCAGTGGAGCGAGTCCGTCGGGAGCGATCCCGGCGCTCCCCCTTGGGAAGCGCGGGATTAGAAAGCGCTGGATGGAAAAGCAGTCAGTGCTGGGGGAAAGGAGAGCGGAGGCCACGAAGGACTGAAAGAGCCTTCCCGCGAGAGGAGCATGAGGAGGACCAATGTGACCTTGCTTAGTTGCTCTTTGGCCTCTTCCATTCTTCCTCTTTCATCCTGAATTATCGCTGCTCCCAAAGGAGCACCTCACTTTCAGAAAGAGCGGATATTTCAGGCCGATCTCCCCAAAAAGAGCAGTCCCAGACAGTTCTTCACCATATTCCCGCTCCAAAGAATAACCGCGTTTAACAAAGTCACTCTCGGAGCGGGATTTCCAGCTGCCAACAGGGACCAGCCTCTCGGTTAGGAGCTGTGCTGGCCCCAGGGACTCGAGTCACCGAGCGGGGCGTCCCAGCACGGCGGGGACGTGGCAGCCAGGACCCGCAGTGCACACACACACCTGGCAATTCCCATCCTTTCCCAACGCTGCATCCACGCGACTTCCCACCCTGGAGCAGTCACGGACCCCTCAGGAGGACGCGGTGAAGCAGCCTGGCCACATGCAAACCTGGGCCAGGGATGCCCTGCAGTGTCTTGTGGCCGACCTGCCTCTAAATCAAGTCAGAACTGGGGCTTTTAAGGCTCTTTACATCCTCCGCCAAGGCAAATCCTAGCTAGGGTTGAGTAATTTTGAATGGGATGATTTATCCATCCAGAATTCATAGCTTCTTGTTGAAACTCGACTACACAGGACAAGCCTTTTTTTAAGGACAGTAGAGGAGGACAGAGATGCCTTGAAACTTCATTGAGCCAAGAAATTTATGATCCCCTTACTGGATACCTAACTATTCCTATCGTGATTGCAGGTAATAACAATGTAAAAAGTCCTGTCTAGCTTGACCCAAACGTCTCCCAAAGCCACCAGGCTCCATGAAGCGTGGATGCCTTTAGCTGCCGTAGCTGAACTCAGAGCGTTAGGTCAAGGAGTTTCAAGTTTTAGCTTACTCAATCCCTCCACTTCTAAATTGGAAGGAAAAACAAACTCAAAGGGTGACTGATTCCCTGTCGAGTGCCAAAGAAATAAACTTGCAGGGTAACAACCCAGCAGGGCAAGGATTTATTGGCGTTGTTGCTTAAATGCTGTAATAAATGTCTGCAATAGCTGAAAACGGAATGAGATTTGGATCCCCCACCTGGAAGTCAATCCACTCCTCCCTTTGATCCTAAATCACATCCTCATACCCAAGGCCCTCTCTGCTCCCAATTCATAATTACTGTGTGCTCCAGAGAAAGATGCAATGTTCCAAACAAATTACTTTCAGATAAGCCAGGAAGGATCCAGAGGTGCCGGAGATGCAGAGGAGCCGGTTGGAAAACCCTCCGAGCGATGGCTGATAGGTGACAGTTCCCACAGGGGCTGTGGTTCCTACCTGGTGTCTGTGCACAAGTAACGTGCTTTACAGCATGCCAGCACCAAGCTTCTTTCTGGGGAAGTTAACTGGCGGCCACATCTGGGAGACAAAGTCAGGGAAAAGCCTTGGAGACTGCCCTGACTTCCCACAGACACGGGATGCTCCGAGGCCCTCGGTTGGGGCAGCTCAGCTCCCATGTGCTGTCTCCAGGGTAGAGCAGGGCAAAAATCCACATTCACAAAATGTGGCATCTCACGTGGGACCGCGCAGCAGCGTCACGGGGCTGCGGAGGGGGCACTGGAGCCGCTGCGGCGCGCGGGAGGGTCAGGGATCTGCGAGCGCCGGCGTTTCGGCCTCCTTACCTTCTCCTAGCGTGCTCACCACTGTGACTTCCGAGGCCTTGCTGGCTCCCCGGGACGTGTAAGCCTTGATGTAGAAGCTGTAGCTCGTCGAAGGCTCCAAATCAGTCACCAGCTGCTGGAACGTGCTCTTGCTAACAGCCTCCTGGTACTCCATCTCCACAGGATCTGCGGCACAAAGGGAGGGCAGAGCGGCGTTAGGCTTTGCGAGAGGTTAAGGGACTGAGCAGATGCTGTGTTCAGTTTGTTTCGTCCCAAGGAAATGTGGCCAGGCACTAGCCCGCTTGCATTTCTGCATGCTTTGCCAGGGAGCTAAGCAGGCAGCAAGGGCTTGAGCCTGCAGCTCCACCTTCCTCCCCTTCCTCAAAAAAATCCCAGGCCTGCCGCTGCCGTTAGAGCTGTCGGCTCTGGGCTCGGTGGACAAAGGCTACGGGAATAGGAGCGGTTGCTCCGAACAGGGCAAAGCTCAGGTGCTGCCACCGTATGGCCCTAAAACCAGAAAAATGTCTTAAATTAATGCAGGAACACGGAGCTGGGCAAGGCCCTGGGTGGCAGCACCGTGTGCCGCGGCGCAGCCCGCGTTTATCCAGTGTATAAAGCAGCAAGGAAGGAGGGAAGCAGCGGGCAGGGCGCCGTACCTGCAGCCCTGCGGATGTGCAGCACGTAGCCGATGATCTCCTTGGTGTTCTGCAGGGGCTCCCGCCAGGACACCTGGATGGTGGTGGCGGACACGGTCCTGGCGCGG